TATTACTGACCTCTGTCATCATTTTAAGTGGGGGAACTTGCACAATCGGTGGCTGACTAAATACTTTTTTGCCCCACTGTATATACAGAATATGTAATATTAAAATTGTTTATATTGTATGACGTTGTATTATGTCGTATATAAATGTACAAAATTGCAAATTTACAGGTCAAAGATTTCGACAGCTCGACAATTAGTGAGTTTTTATAGGTTCAAGTCAAGAAATCGGAACAAGTGTTGTGTTTTTGTGACAGCCTGGTTGTAACAAGGTAACACTTTGTCCATCCTCTTGTCCTTCATAGCAACAAAGAATGAGTAAATATTATTTGTGCTTGCTAATTAATTTCTCCCGGGTTCGCTGTCATATCCAGAGACACATTTTAGGTACATGTAATACCAATAATAAACATTAATCCATATTTCAGAGCTGCATTTATTCATTCACGTGGAGCGTAAATCTCTGACATCTACAACTCAACTGCGCCTCCCTCCGCCGCTGATTGATTCGGGAACTTCATCACAACGTGTGTGAGTGAGTTTGATGTTGGCTGTTGTGGCTCATGCACTGTCGCCGTTGTGTAAAGCCAAAGCGGGTTTTCTCCTAATGCTTTCAGCAAGATCACGGATCACGGATGCATCTTAGCTGATTCTCTGCCGACCATTTCCCAGCAGCAGCTCCATCACACACCGCCGACATTTTGGCTGTTTTATCTAAAACCCAAACTAACCGTGCTGCACTTACACCCTCTAAAACCATCATCATAATAATCATCCGCCTTCACCAGACTCGGATCCTTCTGGCTGCTTTCCGGACGGTAAGTGGTGATCCCGTGGAGAGTGTTTGTCCACGTTAAGCGCGAGTTTTTCCTCCGGCTGTGAGGGCGTTGTGTCGGTATGTTTCCCCACCAGGAGCGCAGTAATGGCAGAGCATATGTCCCAGAGTGAGCTGGATTACCCGTTCAAACTTCTGGAGTATTTTAACGGCTTCAGAGTGTCCAAGGTAAACATTTCACGGTTTATCTTCGGGAAGTGTCAGACTGGTTTAATGTGTGTAGATTCAGATTTTCTCCACTATATGCAAGCCATTAATAAACCTATGAATATAATGTGTTATATGTGTATTATACTAGACAGCAGTACATAAAATAGCTCAAATGAATCCCAACTTTACCTGCATACATTAGAACATTCCGTGCTGTAATTATTATAATAAAGAAACGCTATCAATCTGTATTTTGACTAGTTTAGCTGTGTCCACAGTTTGCTGCAACTGAGACTAAACATGCAAAAACAATCCCATTAGAAGCCAATAACTGGAGGGAAGTTGTTCCTGAAAGTCTATAGCAGCCACCCAGTGGAGAACATCAACCTCCAGCAGGAACTGTTGAAATATTACAAACTGGACTGAGGTGGTGGATCTGCCTATAATCATAGTTTTTTAACTAAAAGTCTGCCTACCAGTGCAAAGTTGTTAACTTGACAGTCTTTCCGCAGGTGATATTTTCAGCCTGTGAGCTGGGAGTATTTGACCTGCTGCTCAGGTCCCAGGAGCCTTTGAGTGCCCAGCATGTTGCTCAGGAGCTGGGCACCAGCTTGGATGGGATGGAGAGGCTGCTGGACGCGCTGGTGGGCATTGAGATCCTGGAGGTTGAGAAGACAGATGGAACAGGTGAGGAATAGGAGGAGGCGGGTATAGTGTAGCAAGCAAAAGATCCCTGATTTCTTTCGGGGAGGAGATGCAAACCATCTCGGGGTTGTGTCAGGAAGGGCACAAGGGGTGGAAATCTGTAGAGCTACCCGCTGTGGTGACCAAAAGTAGTTTTTGATGTACAGAAAGAAGGAAACTACAAAAATATGATGGTTTCTCCCTGGGCATGAAAATGATCTCCAGTGTGATCATTCCAAAAAGCCAACATGTCAAATTTAACCTACATCAGGTAATAATATTATAATAAAAAAAAAGGTATAATTAAATTGTATATAATTGTGTAACAGTTACATTTAGCTGCTCTTCTAAGGCTTTCGTTTTAATTTATTGCTCTTTCTCTTCTATTAAAACAGCTTTGTACAGCAGCACCGATGTGGCAAATCTTTATCTGGCCAAAGGCAGCGCCAAATCTCTCCATGACATGATCGTCTACAAATCCCAAACCATCTACCCACTGTGGAACAACTTGGTGGATGCTGTCAGGTCTGTGTATTCACATGGGACCACATCAGGCTAAAATACCACACAAAATGAGCTGATTTAACAGGGCTTTTAGAAATGTTTGCAGACGTAACGCAACCATTCTCTTTCACTTTGTGTTGTTTTCATGAGCACAAAGAATTGTTCCTTATCCTCTGTCATCACGCAGGGAGGGGAAGAATCAGAATGAAAAGACATTCGGCCTTCCAGCAGAGGAGGTCTTCCAAGCCATTTACAGGTTGGTGTTGATCCCGCTGCTTCAAGTGTGGCTTTGAGCTTGTTAGGATTCAGTATATGAACCTAAACTGTACCGCACAGATCAGAAGAGGACATGCTGAAATTCATGGGTCTGATGAACTCGTCATGGGTTCTGGATGGACATGACGTTGTGACAGCGTTCAATCTCTCCGGCTTCCAGAACGTAGTAGATCTTGGAGGTAAGAGGCTGTCAGGGATGCTCTGACATCTGAGAGGGCCTGTTATTCTTCCCAAGAAGGCAAATAGATATACACACACCTATCAGACACAACATTATGTCCACCTTTAAGTCGTTTAAGTTGCGAGGTGGGGCCTCCATGAATCGGGGCTGTTTGTCCAGTACATCCCACACATGCTCAATTGGATTGAGCTCTGGGGAAACCGGAGACAAGTTAACATCTCAGTCTCGTTGTTGTGCTCCTTGAACCATTTTTGCTTTGTGGCAGGGCACATTATCCAGCCTTCACTCCCCCACATGCATCAGTGTCTCTTGGTCACCCATCATCCTGTCGCTGGCTCACCACTGCTCCTTCGTTCGACCACTTTTGACAGATACCGACCTCTACAGACCGGGAACCCCCCACAAGAGCTGCAGTTTTGGAGATGCTCTGACCCAGTCGTCTAGCTATCACAATTTGGTCCTCGTCAGACTCGCTCATCTCCTTAAACTCACCTTTTTTTCCTGCTTCTAACACATCAACTTTGAAGACAAATGTCCACTTGGTCCCAGATATATCTCGCCCAAATAGATGCCATGAAGAGGAGATAATCAGTGTTATTCACTTCACCTGTCAGTGCTCAATACCTCAAACTCACGTATACCAAAAATTAACATTTTGAAGGATTGTTGTTCCGAACAAGACCAACGTGGCTTCCTTGTATCGTTTCCCTCTGATAAATGTTGATCGCTGTTTATGAACGATTGCTAGGTTGCACTGGTGCTTTGGCCCGTGAGATGGCAAAGGCGTATCCCTCATCCACCGTCACAGTGTTTGATCTCCAGCAGGTCGTGGAAGCGGCTCAGAAGCATTTCTCTCAGGAGAATGATGCTATTGTATTTCAGTCCGGTAAGTCTGCTATGGATGATTTAAAACACCTTAAATGTTTAAGAAAAAACATACATGGGGGTGGCTGTAAGTCACCTACTAATCAGAAGGTTGGTAGGTTCATGATCGTCTGCTACTAACCCCAGGTTGCTCTCCAATGCTTGCGTCTGAGTATGAATGTGTGTGAATGTTAGATAGAAAGTACTTCCCTAGAAAGAGCATAGAAAAAAGTGCTTGTACGGATGAGTGTGAATGGGTGAATGAGGCAAGCACGCTTTAAGTGCTCAGATAGAGAATCAGTCCATTTAGCTTTGACATGACTGTGATAGTCATACATGTAGTGTTTGAGGGGAAAATCTAACAAAATATACTAAATAAAGTTAATCTTTTGTGTATTTGAATTACAATTTTGAACAATGAGAGAAGACCCTGTATTTTTTTTTTATATCAAGTATAACAACATTATATTGGACCAATTATGTTTCTCTTTTTTCTGTCCTATATGCTGTTATCATAGTGGTTGCTAACTTTATATAACAAGCTCCATATAATGTAGGTATAAGTAATCCCTAAGAGTCCAAAGCTGAGACTTCAGAATGCTGCCAGTCTGTGTGCTCTCAGACACCAGCTTTGCTGTTCAAACCTCCTGTTTGCAAGGTGCAGCCAATCAGAAAAAAAGCTGGGTTAAAAAAGAGGAGGAAAGGAGCTTAAACATCTTGTTTTGGTTATTTTGAAATCTGAATCATGCATAGCTACTGTTGTATAGACCAATGATAAAAAAAAATGACATTGGAAGTAGGTATAATAGGTCCCCTATGAGATTAGTTAGGAAAAAAGCTTTTTTTTTCTTCACTATAACCAATAAACTGGTAAATACGTTTTTATTAATGCTGCACCCTCTATGTGCAGGAGATTTCTTCACTGGTGAAATCCCCACTGCGGACTTGTACGTTCTGGCCAGAATCATTCATGACTGGCCTGAAGAGAAGTGCCTGACGCTGCTGAAGAAGATCTATGACATGTGTGCACCAGGTCAGTACACCAGGTACATGTGGGGGTTTGTTGTTTTAGCGACAAACCACTGAATGTGGCCTCAATTTTTGTTTGTTTGCATGAAAACGCCAGTGGGTGACATCATGTCCCAGTAGAAGCTGAGAATGACCCCAAGAAAACCATCCCTAACATCAAGCATGGCGGTGGGAGCATGAGGCTCCCATCCTAAATTTTTCTATTTTTCCATCTTTCCTTGTCAACACCCAAAAGCATAATGCTTCCACCGCCATGCTCCTGTTTGTGTAGCACTGTATAAGTCAATTAGTTGTTCTAGCTATTCAACATAACCTCTTTCTTATGTCATGGTTTATCATACAGCATCATAGACTGTTCTGCTCTCACCTAGTGTTATGAGTGAGATCTGTCAAGTCTGGGAAAGTAGAGAAGTAACAGCTTCAAAAGCGGACAAGTTATGTTCAGTTTGTGTCAAAATGAGAAATTTTTTTTACCAGAGTTAGTGGCCAGCTTGAAAATAGCCACTGTTATTACATTTCACATTGCTAATGAGCTTCATCAAAAGAGTAAGAATAATATGAGTATATTATTAAGCGATCAAGTTTGAAGTTGACATTTCCGAGCTCCCAGTTGGAATTTTCATCTGGAACGTCTCCTCAACCCCCACCAATCCCGAGGTAATCACAATCACAACCATAGATGGTAGCTGTGATGTAAACAGTAGTAAAAGTGCAAAACTTGTCATCTGTACTGCCATTGTTGTGTATTTGTAACTCAGCCCACTCATCAGGCTCTATCTTTGAATGCCCTGCAGCAGTGTTTTTAAGCACAAAAAACAAGTATTACATTGTTTTTCTAGTGACACATGAATAGCTCTACCTTGGTAATAATGAAAACAAATCCCTTTTTTTTTTTCGCTTTTGCAACTTTACTGCCGACACTCCCAAGTTCCAACTTCCGTGGTATCTGGAGCACAGCATAAATAACAGTTTTAGTAACTGTTTCCATTTGTTAATGATTTGACCTGTATTTTATCTGCTGCACTGTAAGATGTTCACAAACCTGCTGGCCAACACTAGTCCGTGTGAAATCATGTGTTTCGAGGGGATCAAACACTTATTTCACTCAGTAGAGTACACATTGTTGCTATATTTTCTCAATTTTTCATTTGATTATTATACTTATAGCAGTTTTTGTTTCAAATAGAAACAAAAACTGCTATAAGTATCTTTGTTTGTCCTCCTGCCAGGCGGCGGCGTCCTGCTGGTAGAAGCGATGCTGTTTGAGAACAGACGAGGGCCCATCATGACTCAGCTTTTCTCCCTCAACATGCTGGTGCAGACGAAGGGCAGGGAGCGCCCACCGTCCGAGTACACACACATGTTCAACAAGACCGGCTTCAAGAACATTCAGGTCTGCCGCACCGGCAAATCTTATGATGCCATATTGGCCATCAGATGAGCTCAGACAGAGAGCGGGATGCTTAGAAAGCATCTGTCAAAAGTCTGGGAAATCAGAGAAAGGTTAAGTGGAAACTTCAAGGCCTCGATAAGGAACAGATGTCAACATCAAACTGTAAACTGTGGGGAGAAAAAAAGAAGTTGTCCACATGGATCTCCAGTTTATGTTATCGTCAACACCAATTATGTTTTTAAAATCTTTCTTACAGTTCACCTTGTCTTTCGACCACACCTCTGGATAGAGGTTGCTGCTGTAAAAGATAATATATTTTAGTCATACTTGCGTCTATAAGTAATGTTCTCACCTTACACCAAGCAAAATAAGATTCAAGAATGGGTTCAGATTAAAAAACATGTGCAATAGAAATGGAGCATTTGAGTCACCGGACCCTCCTCCTCCTGCTCATTCCTGTAAGCATGCATCCTCCAGACACACATCTTGGATGAAAGTTCATTTGAACAAAAAATATTATGTTTATAATTTTTTGTATTAAAAGTCTTGCATGTAAACACAGCCACAGGATGTTGGGAGTTTGTCCTTGTAGCTGATACTGTGACAGTTCTTTAGTCTTAAATATTTATTAGTTGATGTTTTTACAGCCTCCCTGAATTTTTGCCTGGACTTTACACAGTTTACACATCAGTTATTGTATTACTATCGTGTTAAATTGTTGTTATCAAAGCAGCAATTTTAAGAAGTCATATCCAATATGTAATGTGATCATTTGTCTCGGTTTCTCCTGGCAAAAATTACGAGGATCCAAGAATTATAGATAATGAGTCTTACAGGGTTTTTTTTATTTATAATATGGTGTATCCATGAGCAAACTATGCAAAGTATAATAAAATACTTCATTTCACTGAGATATTTTCTTTTGCCTTTTATTCAGCTATTCTGCTTTAACGGGACTATTTTATTAAAGGCTACTTTCAGTGTTTTGCTTGCTGTAACTTGCAAATTTCCTAGCTTCTGGGATAAATAATCAGATATTATCAAACTGCTTTCATAAATGAGCTGATACAGTATGTTGTAAATAATACCGAGGAGCACAGAAAGAAACACAAAAAGGGGCGTATCAGTAAAGAAAGGGTCCATAGTGATTATATTGATCTAGGAAACCTTTACGAAGGGAAGAAAATGTGTCCTTTTCTCACTAAATGTTTGTTTTTATGTTGCTGATGGTCTGTCCCTGTAGTGTGTGGTGTCCTTGACAGAAAGCAGAGACTTTGTTGTCAGTAGAAACCCTCCGTCGTACACACTTGGGAAATAATTATGCACACATTATTATGGTTTGTTGACACTCAAACTGGCAACCGGGCAACGTGGGTTGTTACCGAGGCTGTGGAAACTTCTTGTTTTTTCCTGCAGTGATCTGTCGGGTTAGTGCTACCAGTTTCGGTTTTGCTGCCCTCTAGCGGCCGATGCACATAGCTGCGTGTGTGCAGAGTAATCTCCTCCCCAGCCGCCACTGTGTTTGTGTATGTGGAATGCGGGTCAAGCGGAACTCAAGGCAAAAACTGCGCTTCGCTTCAAACTCAAAACAGCGGCTCGCATCGGCCTGACGTGCTCTGTACGTACTATGCAATTTATTTAAACTCTACGCTGTTTTAATTCAGGTGCATATGTACCAGAATTATTTTATCTAGACATTTGAGCGAGTTTATATTTCTACTATGGACGTACTAGCAGTCCGCTAGGAAAACGCGACATCGTCATTTAAAATGGCGCCAAAGATTAACCTCAACCAGTGGACCGCTGGTAAACCTACCACACTGTGCCCTGCTGGTTAGCTGCATAGTAGCGAAAAGGCAGTGTTGTATTAACGTTGAGTTTAAATTCACGTGTTCTTTTTGATTTGGTGTAGTTTGTTTTGCACAAGAATTGACCCCTAACCTTTGACAGCGC